CGGTCCAGGGGTTCGAAGGCTGGGCCTCTAGAGGTTTCGATAGTCGCCCCAGGGCAACAGAGTCAGGGACGACCTTGGGGCGAGCCTACGAATGGCCGAGGCCCAAGCGAACGATCGCTCGATCGCTCGGGGCATCCTAAGTCGTGTCCAAGACCGGCAGGGAAGTCTCCGAATGGGATCCCACCGTAGGGAGGCACCGAGCCACTGAGGCCCAGTGAATGGCCTCGGCACCCACTAGAGAAACCCTCTGGTACTCTTGGAGTGCGTCTTCGGACCGCTAGCCGACCCTTAGCGAACGGGGTTCGGGCCTCCACTCGGACTACCCGATAATAGCTCACCGGAAGTGCCCACGCTCGTGCCCATTGAGGGTAGCCTGGCACATTCCACCCCTCCTTCCGAGCGAAAAGGAAGCGTGAGGGTCGTACCCAAAGTCAGGGGGATCCCTGACGGACCTCTCGCTCCGTGCGGAGGCTAGAGGGCTTTTCCTGCAGCCTCGCCGAGACCCTCGCAACCCGAACTTGCGCTTGGGGCTCGGCAAATGCGATAAAACTCCTCGCTCAAACGCGAAAACGAAAAAAAGCCCCGGAGGAGTAACTCCACTCCTCCGGGGCCTCGAAAACTACACCCGGCCAGGTGCGCTCAAGCACACCACCGGAACCTCAAGAAACAAAACCTAATTCCTACGGGGAGCAGGAATAAACCAAGCCTCGGCCCGAACCCTCGTGGAGAGTGCACGCCTCCCGCACTCGAGGAGCTTCTTGTCTGGTACCTTAGGACGGGGTACCCCGAGCGAACATCAAAGGGGTCACTTAAGTCCCATCAAAATACAAAGCTAGAAGGTAAGCCGTGGGCCCCTCACCCGCCACGTCCGAGCCCGCCAGGCTCTCCGCCTCATCTCGAGCCTCGCGCAGAAGGTCTCGGCGTCCTGACGCAATCTCCGCCTCGCGCGAGGCTCTCCACGGAAGGCCTCGGCGGGGAACACAATCTCCGCCTCGCGCGAGGCTCTTCACGGAAGGCCTCGGCAAGGAGTCCGATCTCCGTCTCGCGCGAGGCTCCGCCCTCCGTCTCACGTAAGGCCTCATTCTTCGTATTGCTCGAGGCCAGGTTATCCATAGTCCGTCGCCCCCGCTTCGATCGACCCTCCTGACAGCACGTCATGTCCCATTAATACTTCAACCACTCCCGCAATCTCAGCCGGACGACGGCTTGACACCACAGAATGACCGACGGGACCTGAGGTCGCATCAACGCCATACCGGCTGGGATAGGGCGCGGCAGGGATTACCGGCCACTGTGTTCTGACACTGTGCCCATGATCAGCGCCCACACTGCACTGTGCCCCATGATCCCCGCCTAGAAAACAACATCACGCGGACTACTTGGCCCGGGTCATCACCGCCTCCAAGCCAGTGTGCCAGATCAGCCGCCCTCTCGGAGCCTCGGCACTATACACCAAGGTCTCGGCTATCTCGGGGTTCATGCTCGCCGAGACCCCCATTGCGGTGCAGCCTCGGCACTGACCGAAGCCTCGGCCTCACGCGCCGCCAATCCACAGCGATCCGCGTCCTGGCCGCCGCACCTGCTCTGAGGTAGCCCAGAAGCTCCCATAATGCACAGGGTCAGACGTGACCAGCACGTCGCCCCAGTGCTCCAAGGACGGACCACTCCGACGACCATGCCGCCACAGGAACAGGCCACAGGGCTCGGACACACCGCCTCTGTTGGCACGACGCCGTATAGTCAGCACATGTATTGTCCTTGTCCTCCCTTCAACTATAAAAGGAGAGGACTTGGACCCCTTAGAAGAGATAGAGGGAGAACACCTGGTAGCTCACACACATACACATCCCAGCCGCCTGAGAGCAACGTCTCAAGCAGCCCACACGACACCTCGCCGAGACCTGGGATTAGCTCCCTCTCTCCCTGTGCTTGTAACATCCTACTACTAGCACTTCGGTGCAAGGAATACAAGATCGATCTCTCAGACTGGACGTAGGGCATCGATTGCCTGAACCAGTATAAACCTTGTGTCTCTTTGCATCACCATCCGGGATTAGGAGCACGCAGTTCAAATTCACTAGTTGGTAGAGGACCCCCGGTCCAAAACACCGACAATTACGTTTACCAAAATATGTTTATTATGAAAATATATGGCATGATTTATCTAATCATGCTTGTTTAGAATCATATATATTAGTATGTTTCTGTATATATTCGGTCAAACTTGAGATTGATTAACTTTTCAAAATTCAAGATGTGCACTTATTTTTGGGACTAAGGGAATATCTAGCTCTTGTTTGCATATAGCTCTAGCTCTGAAATCCACAAAGAATTTAAGGTGTATGATAAATTTAAGGGAATTAAAATTATATATTGTCCAGAATATACCTTTAGTATGTCTATAACTTCAGCTCCAAGAAATTTTGGAGCTAGAAATGCCCAGCTATAAAATCTGTTAGAGCTCAAGCTCTGTCAAACATGCCCCTGATTAGAGTTAATCTGCCTGTCATAACGTTGTTTAGCTTATCTCAAATATGTCACCAGGTAGGTGGTTACTTGACCTGACTAGTTATTAGCAAAACCATGTGACATGCGATAAGCTTTAGTTGGGTACTCGAACGGGTCCGGGCCCACGTTGATTTTTCATGTTAGAGGATCGTACTGATAACATCCATTATATATATATGGCAGTCAATTAGAGAAATTTCGTGCTGTAAAATATCGCAGTTTGTACGGTCTTGAGCAATAAATTAAAACTAACAGTGCACTTAGGTCACTAAAAAACTTATTCTAGAGATCTATTTGATTCTACATTAGGTAAACTAAAAGAACTAGTAAGACGTGCACTTAGGTTTATCTAGTGTTCTCTATCAGTCTATTATTTACGCAAATCAGAGAACTTGAGTTGAAGGTGCCACTATGGTGTATGTTATGACATTCCATTTTCTGTTTTGGATTTTATATTATATTATGTTCTTGATTCTTAAACTTATTTGGAGATATAAATGTTGATATCATTTTATATAAATTACCTAGTTAAAATTAAGAAAGTTTGACGACTTACTACAAACCTAGGATGATGTTCTTTTTAGGACGGAGGTAGTATTCCTTTACTAATATGTTCTAGTGACAGGTTAATTGATGATAAATTGTATTTAGTTTTGTTTGATCGTTTTTCATTAAAAAAAATAAAAAACGAATCATAGACCATTTGTTTGTTTGTTTTTTCATGTGGGATTGTAAGGATGCTCAAGACTTGGAAGTCAAGTGATGTATTTTGCATATTTTGATAATCTTTGGCCATGCTAATGGTATTTGTTTTGGTAAATTCATTCATCACTTCTTTATAGTTGCATCCCCCTCTTTTGGCTCATACGGGGTGTTGATACCCCCACCTAAACTTTAGTCCCCATCACATCGGATGTTTAGACACTAATTAGGAGTATCAGATATAGACTAATTATAAAACTAATTGCACAGATGGAGGCTAATTTGCGAGATGAATATATTAAGCCTAATTAGCCTATAATTTGACAATGTGATGTTACAGTAAACATGTGTTAATCATGAATTAATTAGGCTTAATAGATTTATTTCGCTAATTAGTCTACTCCTATACAATTAGTTGTATAATTAGTTCATGTTTAATCCTTCTAGTTAGCATCCGAATATCCGATATGACATGGACTAAACTTTAGTCCCTAGATTCAAACACCCCTGGCGAACTGTGTACAACAGTACAGCTAGTTTGTAGTAGCGCACATATCTTAGTAGACACAATTATTTGAGAACAGTCTAAAATAGTGTCATTAAGACTATCTCGGAGCTGGCTGAGTGTCTCTGAGACAGGTCACGCAATATGTTTTTAGCAAAAAAAAAAATGGCTATACAATTGCACTGATTCTATGGACGATCGAATCCAATGGTGTATATGCCGTATGTTAGCTAAATTTGTTGGAATTTGGAAACCAGTTACAGGAGTATGCATGCAGTTGTCTATCGCCCAACACCCATCAAGAAATGGCGGGAAATAATAAAAAAAATGAGCTGAGATGAACCGAAGTCGCCAATGGACGGCTATCTACTCCCTGATCATTTGCCTTGTTTTAACCTGCCGAGGCCGATCATTTCGGCCTCACGCGCGCGGCCGCTGCTGCGTCGCCCGCAGCATCGTCGTCCAAACCAGCGGCCGGCATGTCGGGCGCCCACCGTATCCCTCTGCAGCTGCTCCACGCTGCCGTAGATCCCACGCCTCGGTCGCGCTCATTGGCACCTGGACCCCAGGAAAGGTGGGTCATAGGTGTCAGCCACCGATCGAGCTAATGGGCGCGTGCCCCGCTCGAGCCCCGGAACTACGGAGCTGTACGCCACGCGGCAGGGTAGGGAGGCGCGCGTGCCGTCCCCGTTCCCGGCACGTGGCCACCACGGCTTGCCTCAGGATCTGCGCTTCACAGTTTTGCGTGCGTCACTCCATCACCACTTGGCCTGCAATGTCAATACCGTCCAGACTGATCAACGGTCCAGCTAGTATTGCCTCAAGATCTGCGCTTCGTTTTTCTGTTAGGGCTTGTTTGGATGCAAAAAATTTTGCAAAATGAGTACCGTAGCGTTTTTGCTGTTATTTGACAAATAGTGTCCAATCATAGTCTAATTAGGCTTAAAAGATTCATCTCGTGGATTTCGTCTAAACTGTGTAATTAGTTTTATTTTTTATTTATATTTAATGCTTCATGCATGCGTCCAAAGATTCGATGTGACGGAAAATGTGAAAAATTTTGCAAAATTTTTTGCAAACTAAACTGGACATTTCTGGCAACTTGGTTCTGACTTCGCGAGCTGCATGTAGCCATCCACCTTTGGAGTGGCGTGCTCCCATTCCATGAGGCCATGCAACTCGTCCTCCTATAAAAAAGCCTGCCGAAGCTCATCACGAAACTGCAAATCCACACACACTGACACAACACACAGTCACAGTCACACTCACACACAAGAGCTCCGAGATGTCTTCGAGAGCACTGACAGCAGTCCTCGTCTTCTGTCTCCTGTCCGCCTCACCGTCTGTCGCCATCTCCACGCAAACGGAGCCCCAAGCACCACCCGCAGATGGCGGTGGCGCATGCGGAGGCCCCGCCGTCGGAGGCAAATGCCACAGCGTCGCCAGCGCGCTGCGCCTGAAGCTGATCGCCATCCCGTCGATCCTCCTGGCCAGCGTGCTGGGCGTGTGCCTGCCGCTCTTCTCCCGCTCCGTGCCCGCGCTCCGCCCCGACGGCAACCTCTTCGTGGTCGTCAAGGCCTTCGCGTCGGGGGTCATCCTCGGCACGGGCTACATGCACGTGCTGCCGGACTCCTTCAACGACCTCACCTCGCCCTGCCTGCCCCGGAGGCCCTGGGCGGAGTTCCCCTTCACGGCGTTCGTCGCCATGCTCGCCGCCGTGTTCACGCTCATGGTGGACTCGCTCATGCTCTCGTTCCACGGCCGGGGCAAGGGCAAGGGCAAGAGCAGCGCTGCGGTCGCGCACCATGGCCATGCTCACAGCCCTCCGCCGCAGGTGCACTGTCACGGGCACGGGCATCTCGACGTGAGCGAGGCGAGGCCGGAGGCTGCGGACAAGGTCGCCGAGGACGACGACGTGGAGGCCGGCAAGTTGCGCAGGAACCGTGTCATTGTTCAGGTAACCGATCGATCTTGTTGCACGATGGCCTTGATAGTCTTCCGCCGTTCATTGCTGCTGATCTTCGCGTACGTCAACCTCGATCGTCAGGTCCTAGAGATGGGCATCGTGGTGCACTCGGTGGTGATCGGCCTCGGCATGGGCGCGTCGCAGAACGTGTGCACGATCCGCCCCCTCGTGGCGGCGCTCTGCTTCCACCAGCTCTTCGAGGGCATGGGCCTCGGCGGCTGCATCCTGCAGGCGGAGTACGGCGCCAGGATGAAGTCGGGGCTGGTGTTCTTCTTCTCCACCACGACGCCGTTCGGGATCGCGCTGGGGCTGGCGCTCACCAAGGTGTACAGCGACACCAGCCCCACGGCGCTGATCGTCGTCGGGCTGCTGAACGCGGCGTCGGCGGGGCTGCTCCACTACATGGCGCTCGTCGACCTCCTCGCCGCCGACTTCATGGGGCACAAGCTGCAGAGTAGCCTCAGGCTCCAGCTCGTCTCCTTCCTGGCCGTGCTCCTCGGCGCCGGCGGCATGTCCGTCATGGCCATGTGGGCGTGATCTGTCCGGCCGGACTCCGGAGGAGACTGAGAAGACCCAATCAATCAGGTTCAGGTGCCGTGTATATATGCTGTGTTTGCATTGCAAACGCTCGCATGTTCAGTTGCTCACCGGTCACCGCTGGCCGCTGCATCGTGATTGTCATAAAGGGGAAAAAAAAACAAATCTTGGTGTACTTGACTGTATCTGTATCGCTTGAAGCTTGAGCCTTGTATTTCGCAGTATTCTCCTATTGTCTTCAGGGTAGTATATACTGTACTCCAGTATTTTTGCTGTAAATATTATGGAAGGTGAGATACTTGTAAAATGTAAGTTTGTCTGATACACAGGAATAATAAGATAACAAAAGCTACTGAACAATCAAGCAGGTGTTAATTTTGTATCTAATCCTGGAATGAAAGCTGTAACGGGCCCCGGTCGGCCCATGGGTCAAGTTGGTCGAAGATTCTAATTGGCCTGGGCCTGATTTGCTAATCCAGCAGAGGGCCCTTCCAGAGTTTTCCTCATCAAAAAGAAAACGGCTTTAAGAGCAACTCGAAGAGCTTTGTAAACTAAGGATAAACCTTCAAAATTTAAAATCTATGTTTGATCGGTAAAAAAAAGCAAAAAAATAGGTACGGATGGTCGTCACCAGGCGTCATGTGGACGTCCAATCAAATTGCGATGTGTGGACATCAAATTGCGGTGCGTGGATGAGTATAGATAGCGATATATAATCGGTAATGCCTAGATGCAGGTGCCCGGATAACCGTCCTGAGAATGCGTGCGCTCCACTCCTTTGCATTCTGCCACTGTATCGTCCGCTCCCCCCACCCCCCACTATCAGCACCACCACACCCACCCACTAGTAGAGAACAGAGCTTTATTTTCGATGGGAAACCTCCTCTAGTTATGGTTTCTCACCCGAGAGCAAGCATCTTAGTCCCGGTAGGTAACACCAATCAGGACTAAAGGTGTCTCCTAACATGCCACGATGGCCGACACTTTTAATCCCGGTTGGTAATACGAACCGGGACTAAAGGTTTTTTTTCTTTTTTTCTTTTCTTTTCATTTTTTTGTTTTCTTTTCAAAATAGGTTTTCGAAGTTGTATTGTACGCTGCTAATTATACATTTATACGCGCATATAGTATGTTTCGGTTCAAGCACAATGAACGTATTAAATCACACAATTCAAGCAAAGATATATATATATATATATATATATATATATATATATATATATTTACATGCATGCATGCATATGTGTATTTTACATTATATTATTTCATGTGCATATATTATAAAAGATTGCATTACAGTTGTTGTGATATAACAAGTTTCCTCTCATCCTCTAGCTTGGCTTCCATGGCAGTGTTGGGTCGAAGTAGAACTCGCCCTTGGAATCGATGACCTGCTCATTAAAAAATCCGGCTATAGACTCTTGAATTGCTTTGATTTGGTCTTGTCGTATGACCTTTTCTTCCAACCATCGAGCCTACAGGTTTGAATTAAAGGAAAATAAATTAATATATGTACATATATATATATATAAAGGCATAGTAACACAATCAATAATAATAATTAAATGAATATATAGTGTATTTTTAACGTACTTTGAGTCTCTCTGTAGGAGTTTTTTGGGAGACCACCTTGATAAACTTGCAAATATAGTAACCACAGTAGTTGTTCCCCTGTTCCTGCCTCAGACACCACTTTACGAGAAAAAGATTTGTCATCCAATCTGGTGATCCGGTGAAAGCTATATATTTAATTAATAAAGATGATGCGATTTATGGGACTTACTTTCAAAGGGATTACATTCAGTGGCGCTTTGCATTTTCCCATGTGTTGCTTCTCAATAAAGGTTTTTCCAAACACTGCCCAATAAAAAATTTGCCACGTCATCAGATATAGTTAATCATCATGTTTGTGTGTATATATAGTTGCTAGAGATACCGAAATTACCTCTGGATAATATCTATCATATCTTGGTAGTCTTGTTGTGGTTTTCTCATCGAGTCATAGATTATCAAGTGACTTTTCACCAGATCGATGTCCATCAATATCCAGTGATTGTTGCATGTGTTTATAGGATATAACGCATAACACTCATTAATTAACTAGAATCAACATATGAGCCATTAAGGATGATCGACATTATTAACACTCACTTGAAGTTGTAGGGAAAGAGTATATCCTTCTTGTGGCGTTGGTTCACTAAGAAGTTCATGAGGTTACTCTCTGACTCAGACTTCCAATTAGTCTTTGGAGTAACTAGGTCTTTGAATACTATATGGGGATCAACAAAACCAATTTTATTGCAGCCTACCTTTCTGAGCTTTGTCATTGTAAATCTGCATATATACAGTACTTGTTAGGATAATTTATATGCATATACACACATATGATGAGTTTAATAATAGATCGAAAGAATTATTACTTACAGGCAATAGCAGCTAATGATAACTTTGTCCAGAGAGGTCAGGTGGCATAGTTGATAAAATTCTGCAAAGTCAACATACATAACATCATCGCCACGGAACCAATGTTCGTCTCTAATTCTGACACCAACGTAGAAGTCTCCACCGGTAGACGCCTGCATGTACCACTTGTTTAGCAGGTACATTTGCGTCCCCAGATCAGATAAGGCTTGAGGGTTATATAGACTCTGGCCTAGTACAAATTTTTTCTTCCAAATATCAACCTCCGCCGCACTCTCAATGTTTCCATCACCAAACATCTGGTAAAGGTCGAGACCAGTCTCATCAATAAATTCACCAAGGTGATCCAAATCGACATCCGGAGGTATGTTTGCCTGATGCATTAATCATAAATTCGAACCATATTCATTACCAACAACTAGCAGGGGGACTAATTGGTGCGATTGTTGTCCGAGTTAGGCAACTCCTTTCCCCGCCCGCTTCTTTTTTCTGTGTCACTCAATTGACTTGGTGAGAGTGCGGTCATAGTCCGTTAACGTTGATTTGGACGGCTTATGAGATTCCCGCTGTTGTTGCTGGTAAGAAGCCACCTTTTTTCTTAGAATATCTGGAGCTACGAAGAAGTACGGTTTCTCCGGGTTTCTCCTTGCTTCTTGATTCTTTTTAAGTTTGTCATAGAATCTGGACATATCTTTTTTATATGCATCAGTTCCTTCTTCCTTCTCTTCAGATATTATTTTGGGAATAGCCCTTGGTTTCACGGTGGCTTTCTTTGCCGGCAGAGACGGGTTCTTCGTTTGCGGGGCTGGCCTCTTGCTAGCACTTGGCTGCTTGGTAGGCGGGGGCGGGGGAGGCGTTGGAGACCTCCTTGGAGGTGGTGGTAGCGACGTTGGAGACCTCCTTGGAGATGGTGTGGATGCAGCCTCGCCTTCCAACACAATGTCATCGTACAGAGCACTATGATGATCTGGCGATTGAACAATTGGATTTAGGTTGGGGGAGGATCTGCTATAAAAAAAGGAATGACATATTATTATGAGCAGATTGTTAATTATTTAAGCCAATATAAATTAATGATGTAGTGTTTTCATCTGCACCTATGGTGAGGCAGTTTAGGAGGAGGTGGAGCCGACATCCCGAGAATGATGATGTAGCGCTTGCGCCATAGAATGAATGTCTTCTCTGCTTCTCCTAGAGTCTTCTCGCCATCACCTCCAGGAATGTGAAGAGACAAATCACTAAAACCTTTTTCAGCTTTATCTACCGAGATGGTAGCATATCCTTCTTGGATTATATTCCCATGAATCCTTAGTGTCTTGGTTCGGTCGATAGGATTAACAAGACCGATAGCCACCTTGATTGTGGAATTCCCTTTTGGAATGTGTAGCTCACACGATGTACAAGGTTCAGTGACATCATCCACAGGGAAGCGCAGTCCTATGTCCCCTTGATTTGGTATCTCTGTGGAAGCGCAGCTGCTTTTCAACTAAACAGATTGGCTAATGTTGATTCCTGGCTCTGATGCCTGCTTGCTTGCACTCACTGCTATTTGCACGCCTTCTGATTTCCTCCTGCATTCTCGCTTCAAGTTTTTTTCCCGCTCCTGTGCTTCACGCACCGCTTCCTCCAACCTCTGGAGCCGTTGTGTCTCTTCTTCCTTCTTTCTCTGGCGGCTTCTGTAGGAAGGTCTGTCTTGAGGGAATCCATGCTCCCACGAGACACTTTTTTTGCCTCTAGTTCGACCACCATGTTCAATAGTCCCGATGGCGTATGTCATCTCATCCTTCTCTCTGTTGGGCCTAAACGCACCACTAGCAGTAGCTCTCTGAGCATAAAACAATCTTTCTGCTGCTTCTTGCAGTCTTGCACCATAAACGCACTTCCCTCGCTCCCTAGTCCAAAGTTCCCCATGAGCGAAAAACTAATTCTTTGCACGCTCTCCCCACTCGACTGATTCGGGTGTGATACCCTTGGTAAGAAGGTCTGCTTCCATTTTGTTCCACTTCTTAATGGCAGTCAGGTAGCCACCTGATCCCAAGTTATGGTGGTATGTCTTCTGTTGGGCATTACTTTGGTTCTTTATCACCCGACTCACACCCTCTTCTGATGTCTTGTACTGTACAAACTCATCCCAATAGGGCCTCTGCTTTGAGATCGGGCCTGGGACAGTAAAATCTGGTGCTATGTTCTTCTTGACATACGTCGTGTATAGGTGTTTCTTCCAAGTCTAAAACTGGGTGGCCATCTTCTTCATTGCCCAATCCCTAACTCGCTCCTTCAATTCATCATCATCTATTATATCATCATAACCATCTGTTTGGAGCGTGAAATATACCAAGACATCTTTCCAAATTAACGTCTTGTCACGATCGGAGACAAAACTGATATGAGGAGCATTGATCTTCTTCTTCCATTCATGGGTACTAATCGGTAGCCGGTCTCGTATAAGGTAACCACAAGTGGTGCACGAATTTCATTTTATTTGGCCCCCAGTTCGCTTCAGATCCACATTGAACTCCGAGATGATGAAGCGGCCCTCCAATGGCTTTTTGGGACCTCGAACATTTTTACTCTTCGCT